TTTCATTTGATTATGTTAATGTTAGTGATCATTGATGGGTTTAGCTATGATTGATGTAGCGAAGACTACTTTAGTTCTATATTAATATGGCCAATGAACGAGATTGTTTTGTATGTCCTGTTTAATAATAACAACAGTTTTGAGCTCATAAAGTATAGTACATTTATAAAGATATATATGTGACTCAGTGGGAGATTATTAGAATTTTAAATGTCACACATGTATAATTAAATATGTTAAGCCATTATTTTGATTAGCCAAAATAAAAGTGATCTAATTAAAGTAAAATTATTTAGCTAAGGGACATAATTATTATGAAAATTAATTGTATGGATACCATTAGTCATATTTTTAACTTAATGACGAGATAAATTAGAAATATGAAACTCTTGAGGCATAATTATAAATTCATCAATTATGAATATAATCATAATTGTAGATTAACCCGTTATGACTATAAATAAGATTATGATCCCTGGTTGCAGAAATCTAAAGTTCTTAAGGATACTCTGCAATTGGAAGATTAAATCACCGATTAATTCAGAAAATACTCTAATGGATTCATCAGGTACGCTTCCGTGTTAATATGTTTCTTAATTATTATAGGATTTCATGCATATTATTATGGATTTAAAATATTTTATGGAAATATTTTAAAATCTTGTTTTGGATCTATAAAGCATGTTTGAATCAAAATTCGGTTTGTTGGTTCTATAAAATATTTGTTTGATCCATATTTATTTATTAAAATTTCTAACAATTAATATGTTAAAGCTTGAATACGATCAATTCAAGAGCAGATGCAATTCAATCGACGAAATCTGATCGACAAAGAAGCGGATGCAGAGATCAGTTACTCTGTATCGTTTAAGAGAAACCTTTTCCTTTTCTTCTTCTCACGATTTCTCTGTCATTGGGGAGACGAAAAGGCGTTGGCAAACGAGTCGCTCACCATAGTCGGATAAAGACGAAGGGGGAAGACGGAAAGGAAGAGAGGGAGTCAGAGAGGCTCTTCCATCGTCTCAACCCCGACTGAGGATCCGGTGTCATTGCTTGAGACGTCTTCCATCGTCTGATCTTGATCGAACGGGTCTTCATTTTCATATGTTTTTTTATTTTGTCTAGCATGCTAATCCTGCTTATCCAAAAATAATAAGTGAGCTACATGAGTTGTTTAGTTTTTATTTATTTGCATGTTAATCCTTAAAAATGTGACACTCATCAAATTTTGGGCTGCATCAAAATCTAGAAAAAGTATTGCTTTTTCAACCCCATTAGAGAGAGAATAAAAATTCAAATTGCCATTAATCGTCCTTCAAAATTATTATTATGATTTTTTTTTATTGCAATATTTCTTCCAAAAACATTATAACATTATATATGTATACAAAAATTTAGAGTGATGCATATGAAAGATTTTAAATATTTGAAGAATATATATACATTAAAAAAAATTTCAAAAAATTATGTATTAACATTTCGAGGGGGCAAATATGCTGTTTCAAAACCCTAAAACGATAGCTATCGAAAACCCCAAAAAACAAAAAAATCATCAATGAGAAGTGTTGGCACACAATCTAAGTGGATATTATTTGCTTCCGTTCCTTCCAACCCGGCAGGTTGCAGCACATAAATGTCCTCACTGCACATTGATGAAGCCAGCAGCAATATGATGTTGGCCGCCTTGGATCGGAATGCGGCAGACATCACGCTGGTGAGTCCAGTCCATGAATCCACACAACTTTTCTCTGCATATTTGTCATCAATGACACCTCCCACAAAACAATTTTGTGATGTGTGTGGATCATTTTCCTTTTACACAAAATATTAATCTGAAATACTATAATAATAGTGCACCAAATTCGTTTACCATTGTTTATGGATTTGAAATTTCATCTGATAAATTATACAAATTTAACTGATAAAGATTTTTATAGTTAATTTTAAGATCCTAAATCTCATATTTACCATTTAACCTTTTGTCAAAAAAAAATTCTTTTATTTCTGTTTTTGAGGGGATGGATCAAACTTTCCCTTTGTTCAGATTCTTCTTCTGTCTTCAGTCTCATTTCAACAAGAAATTTAGGATTTATGTAGAGGAAGGAAAATTAATAATGTGGTTGACAGCATATATGGACAGGTGTGGAAGTTCTTTTGTAGAATTACTTTCCTAATTTCCTTGAATATATATATATATATATATATATATATATATATATATATATATATTGGTGGGTAGATAATTTCTGTCAGCTGTTCCCACAAATTTCCTTTGATGTTTCTATCTGTGTGATAATTTTTTTGTTTGATGTGAGATTAAATTGTGTCACTGTAGGATGTTAAGAGCTATGTAATAGTGCATACATCTGCCATCTGAGCTGCTACTGACTTGCCCGCTCTTTGGTTATTCTCAACAAAATGATGGTTGGTAAATGAATTTTACATACATCTTTTCACATATTTCCTTGGATCTTTGTGTCTGTGTGATAATGTTCTTTTGATGTAAGTCAAAAGTTTTATTTTCTTATAGGATGTTTAGAACTCTGAATAAAACATACATCTGTTTAAACATAAGTGATGACATTGTTCCTCCATTGAACATAAATGATAATTTATTCAAGTGAACGTTTTGCATATCTATTGATTCCAAATTGATCATTCGGACCTTTTTAATTCATAAATGAAAAAGAAAGGGCTGCGAAAACAATTAATACAGAATATTTATTGGCTCCCCCAAACTTTGACATTCTATAAATGTTTATGCTCCTCGATCACATTTGTTCTTGAATAAGCCTTTCACCATCTCCAATAATTCTTGAGAAAGAAAGCACCATCAGAAGGTCATGTGGCTGCTAATCTGTTTCTCCATTCACTCCTACTATTTTTGAGAAAAAAAATGTCATAAATTGAGAGACAGAGAAAAATAAACCAGCAGTATCTGAATATTATTTGCAGCAAAAAGAAAAATCGCGAAAGAGAGTTGGAAGGTTGACAATGTTCTGTGATCAAGCAATGTTTTCCGGACATAAAACACGGTTTAAGAAAACTAGACCCTGAGTTATCCAACTGGAGAATGGATAAAAGAAGCACATAAAACTTGATATGGAATCTAGTTTATGGAACATATATAACTATTTCACAGCTCTTGATCAAGATGATAAAGGCATCGAAAGACAATTGGCTTATTTCCTCTGTGAGCCTGTGTTGCAGCATGTTAAGATCTACTGATCCAGTGCTACATCAATCAAGCTTGTTGAAGTGGTGGTGTCTCTTGCAGTTAAATGTCAAACCAAGTGCTGCGAGATTTAATGATCCAGTGCTTCATCAAACTTGTTGAGTGTTGGTGTTTCTTGCTGTTAAAAGTCAAACCAAGTGCTGCTTTTCTGGTCCATATCATGAACAAGAAATGCCTTTTGGTAAAGGATGCTGGTTTTAAGAGAATTGGCCCAAGAATAGCATAAAGAAAACAATTTTTAACCACTAAAAATTGGATAATTATTATGAACAGAGCATGAAAAGACTAGGGAGAATGAATTGCATACAAAAGAAAGTCCAGTTCTCAACAAGATGTTCAAAAAATGTTTGAGACATTTTGCTTAGCCAACCTAGAAACGAACATACATGGTGTAACATGTTAAGATGTAATTGGCATATAACATAGATTCAGTGTTACCTATAATTTGTTGGAATGTTTCGGAAAGTCTGTAAAACTATACAATATATTGTCTCGAATTCTTGTTCTTGTAGATTTGTCACATTGTCCTGTATTTCCATTCTAAGTGTTCTTTGTATTAAACCTTTGCTCAGGATTATCATTCGACCTTTTACAGCTCTGAAATTGTACAATTATGTTCAAGAATAGTTTGAAAAGTATAATAACTTATAAACATCAAACAACAGCGCAAAAATGTGCGTTTGTTGCGAATAAACCCTAAAATGAAGTTCAACTCATGCCCAATGGTTAACCAACACAACGGGAGCAGAAAACTGAAGGACATCTGAAGTCTTCTTTTAGTTTGGACATAGTGATGAATGCAGAATGAAAAACCTGTGGATGATGAATTTGAACAGAAAAGTAATAGAGGTAACAGTTCCTCTTAGCAGCAAAAACTAAACATGTCAAGAAAATTTTAAGATGTGGCTGGGATATGACAGATATTGATGTTTCCTCCCATTTGTTCAAATTCTTCCGAAGAAAGAAAAGCCAAAATCTTTACCAAGAAACAATCTCTTCATAGGTTGAAGAACTTGAGATGTGTTAATGTTGGTTTTCCACAATAATGAGGCAGAATATATAAGAAGCCTTAATCTATCTTGTGTGTCTCATTGTGCCATACGATTTCTGTTTTCGTTTTCTTCATTCTATAGACTCAGTGTTTTCATCTTTTAGTCAAAGTTGTCGATTGATCTTTTTACTGCCTCTGGATACACAGTTGTAATAATGATAACAAGAAATGCGATAAAACATAATATAGGCCTTTAAAACCTGCAGAGGGGCGAAAAAAAGAGCATAAAAATTGATGCCAGACTGATAAGTAACAACGCAGTGAAAATAGTAAACTGAAGCACATCTACAGTCCACCTTGAAGCTGGATAGGGAGGAAAAAACAACCTAAGCCAGTCAGGTGTCATCAAACTCCAATCTCTTGATCACTCACTAAGCTACCACAATAAAAGAACCTCCTGCAATCAAGCACAAAATCTCTAAACACTACCAACTATATTGATAAAGAATTGGATTGGGTTATCATAAATCCTAAAAGAATAAATTGTCATGCTCTGATACTAAGATAAATCTTTTGGTTGGGTTACTACAAATCACAGAGGCTCAAGCTATTAGGAAATGACACAATATATTTATAAGCTCTAACATAGACAAATTTGACATCTAGGATTCAGCACAAGTAGAGGCAATGTTTTAACCAAGACACAGATCAAAATGTAGAACATGCAGTCATTCAAAGTGGAAAAAGATGGAGCAATCATCCTACAGCTACTTAAAGGTAAACACTCAAGGATTCTTAAAGACCATATCAAAATCTGTGATTAGCATGCGTTCATTTGATAGCACAAGTTAAACATATCAAGTTTAATCCATGGAATGCCATGTCTGGGACAGTCCATGATCACCAACCCCAGTGTCTTACGAATCCGAAACCATGGCGGCAGAGCAATCAAAGCCGCAGCGGCAGCGGGGGCACTCCTCGAAGTTGGACAGCCCGAAGGATGCCGACAGCGGGCCGACATAGAAATCGATCTCGTCGCCACTCCTCACCACCTCATCGATCCCAAACCACAAAAAGAGGACCTTGACGCTGACGCCTCTAAGGTTGGTCAGCGACCCCGAGGCCACCGCGCCGGTGATCTTTCTCTTGTAGTGCAACAAGTAGCCGCCGGTGACCTTGAACTCGCAGTCGCCGCTCAGATACACCTCGAAGCTCCCATCTTGATTCAAAACGTAGCGCCGCACGCCCTGCGGGAGGATCCCTCTGGGGAAATCGTATTGCTCCAGCATCTGGTAGGCGGTCGGCTGGTCGGAGATCTGGGTCTCGACAGATGATGGGGCGAGGGAGAGGAGCAAGATGAACCCAAAAAGGGTTTTGCGAATTGGAACACCAAAAAGGTAGGATTTTGAGGGTGAATCCATGCTGGAATCACAGGAATAGGAGGGAGTAGCCCACCAAAGAAGGGATCTTTTGGACGTTTTGTGCCTTTTGGATCAATAAGGGGTCTTTTTGGATGTTTTGTGCCTGTTGGATCAACAAGGAAAGAAAGAAGACTAACAAGATGTCTCCACTTGTAGAGAGCGAAATATGTGATCCGTGCTTGAAAAAGAGTAAAAATTAGACATGTTTGAGACTGCTGTACTGACGTTTTGGCAGTGGCCAAAAACATGTGGATCTTATGGTTCCAAGCTGCCAGTTGACAACCTGAGGATGTTCTAAATCTTCACATAATTTTCTCTCTAAATATGCCAACCAACAAACGAGAGACAAAACCATCAATCATAGAGGTAGTAATTACGCCATTGTGATATCATATCATTCATGTCTTTTCTGATGAGACTACCAGAATTTTGGTTAGGAGTCAATTCTGAATGCCCAATTCATAAATTTAGTGGTGATAGAAAAGAAGTGTAAGATAAGCATTTCATGATACAAATTCAGGTGACCAAAAGGGTCAAAATTGTCATCGATCTGAACCATAATCTTTGTTCCTGGGGTAGGTTTTGGTTACTCAGCATGACAAGAAATCCTAATGTATCTTTTGTGACTATTAAAATCTATGTAAATAAAATAATGTCCTTAATTAAAGTAAGAAATTAAGGGAGTGCGTAAATTGTATATTACATTGCAGGAGTTCACATGAGAAGATTCAAACTTTGTTTACACATGCAATTTCAACATGTCATTCATAAACAAAGTGCTGATTTCTCACATTCAGACTTTGGCAGCATGGCCTTTTTGTTTTGTTGCAGTAGAACTGAACAGGATACCAGTCTAATTAATTTTGGATGATGAATTCTTTAGACTCCAACAATGACATCAATGTTTCATAACAACACCAAACATTATATCCTCCAAATATTATACATCATACAAATAATGCATGGTGTTAAAACAAGTCACTATTGCAAAGCATACAAGTATTATGATGACCAATAGTGCACAAACTCGTGCGAAGATGGATCTTTTATCATCATTGAATTGTATACTAAGGGCATCAAAATTTTTATTTACATATTTCAAATAAAAATTGCCACAAGTTGACATCTTTACTTGGGAAGATGGGTTGATGGATGATTTAGGAAGTTGTGGCTTCCTTGAGGTAGGCAATCAGATCTGCACGCTCCTGAGGGTTCTTCATGCCGGGGAACTTCTTCTTCAGAGGAATGTACTGCAGGAAAGAAGAAATAATACATGTTAGTAGCAGACCGGGTGCACCAGCAAATACAAGGATGGTGAAAAGTTGCCATCCAGATTTCATAGAGCATATCGATATCTTTCCACCCTGTTATCTCATTTTTCATACGTTCATAATTAAGTGGGACTCGATAATGCAGAACTAACACATGCTGCTAGATAGCAGCTACTGCAACATCCTCACAAAGGAGGAAAATTGTGAAATCAAGTAGATTTACAGGCAGTGTTGCCTCTCAGCTGTGACACACACCTACTTCCTACTTCCAATTAGTGATTTAAAAAGCATTAGGCGTTAAAAGACGCCAAGGTCCAAAAACACCTGAGGCGTCATACTATCACGGACTTAGCTGGATTTGCCTAAGTCGTGCGGCACCCTTGCGTGTCCGTCCGCAAAGGTCAGCCTCCCCGAAGCCTCCTATTGTCCCTTAGGACCAACAAAAGAGAGAACGGGTTAGAGAGAACGCCTCAATCGGGATCCACAAGCAAACATCTCCGAAAAACACTTCATAGACAATGCAAATTACAAACAGACTTTACAAGCTCTGAACAGTGGTACAACAAAGGGTAAAATGGTCCATTACAGACTGAGAATCTCTCGCACGTGTCCACATGACACAACCTTTATTTACAAGCCTAAAGAGGCCACCAACCCAACTAAAATGGGACTATTAAGCCTTCGGCCACCCCTCTATATGC